CACACACACACACACACACAAAACACATTAAGGATTGTACATTAACATAAAACTGTTGTCGGAACCATACTGAATTTCACCAGAGAAACACACACACACACATGAAGAGAGAGAGAGTATGCATAGTATGCAAACGGCTACAGCCATCATAATTCAAGAGAGAACAGGAGAAACCAACAACTGACAATGACTAATTAATATTAAAACCTGTAACATATTGTGTTGTTTGGAGTTTAGTCTGTTACTGTTGCTATTTTTACCATTTCTTCTTGGAGCAACTCTACCCACATTATTTCCTCAGGGATCAATAAATTATTCTGATTCTGATTGTTTCAGGATGAGCTGCCATTATCCAATCACACGTCTGCTTACCTGCATCTTTTGCTCGTTTCTCCTCCTCTTCTTTTCTATTTTTTCTAAACTGAGCACCTGATGGCTTTGAACGTTTCTTGTCCATCTTCCATTGGTTTTAATTTTGCACTCCAGTATGAACACAAATCCCCCAACTCGAGGATCACCACAGCATAACCTAACAGACCCACACCTTAGTTCACAGAATCACTTTGTGTAGGGTGCATTTCTGGGATTTCCCACAACCCAGGACTCAAATCATGAATACATAATGGGCTTGGATTTACATCATTATGAATGAAATGTGCTCTATTTGGAAGCAGCCGGCCCCTCCCCTTTCGACGGCTTGTGTGAGACTTTAAATCATCAAACTGTAAATTATAAATTTTAAATTGTTATTGATCCTTTACCTCGAGTCCTAAAGTGTAGATTTATTTTCTTACTCTTCTTATATTTATTGTTTGGTTACTTGCACTGCTGTAACTGGAGCCTCGTCGTCTCGTCTCTCTATATCCTGGACTGTGTGTAGCAGAGATGACAATAAAGTATCCAAGATGGCCGACTTCTAAATGGCCACCATGGCCACCACCCATCTTGAGGAGTTTGCCCCCTCACATATACTAATGTGCCACAAACAGGACTTTAATATCACCAACCATTCCCATGTTATTACGCTGCATCCATATAAATGGCCCAGCCTGTAGAACATGTGTAGCATTCATTTCATTGTTTATTATTAAATATTAAGTAAACATGTGAAATAGTTACGTATTTAAACAATTATAACCTGTTACTGTAACGTACATAACAAAGTTATAATAAAGTTATGTGCTATTTCAAATCCCAATTTATCATTCCCTACATATTCCTGTATGTTGGCAATACAAACAATGACACATGTAGTTTTAAGTAGCCTGACACAGGACACGGTTCTTTCTACATCCATACACACTTCTAACATATCTGTTTCTAAGTAAAAGACCCTGAAGACCTCTGTGGACATAAGCCAGATGTTAGTGGCTGGTTGACATCACCCATCTCTATATGTCCTCAAAGTTTTATCAAAAATAACTCAAAACGCTTTGAGCTATTGTGCGCTGACATAATGATGACGCAAACACACACAAACAGGACCAAAAATAACCAAACAAAAAAATTTACTTTCTTCTTAGGCAACAATAATAATAATAATAAGAAGAAGAAGAACAAGAAGAAGAAGATGCAGCAGTTACGCTTTAGGTAGTTCTTTAAATGTGGAACATGTGACTGGTTTTTGTCATTATTTTACATTTTTATTCCAAAATCAGATTTATGGAAATTATTACATTTAAATGAAAACTGAAGTCAGTTTTACAAAGTGATGTTTCTCACACACACACACACACACACACACACACACACACACACACACACACACACACACACACACACACACA